TATCATACTAGCTATATACAATGCTCACTACAATACTATGTAAGCTGACAATTTTTCAATAGGTGCCGGTGCTTCCCTAGACCTCCCATCGAGCAGGCTCTCGACTACACAACCATCTGTGTCAGGCTCTCAGAATGCAAAAGAAACAAAGGACTGGAAACCTCCCTTCAAGTCGAGTTCTCCCAGTCCTCCCCCAAACGCTGGGCTTGACCCTTTGAGTACGGTAAGTGTTTGCAACTAGTTGACTCAAGGACAACGAGGTATGCTTGGACCGCAACTAACATGTGATGTCTAGCAAATCTACCTGCGTACCAACAGTAACACCGCGGAGCCTACCATCGCACAACGAATCCTTAACCAGGGCCGCTCCGACAGCCCTGCTGCAGACAACCTACAAAGACAAAGCTCCGAACTTAGCAAGTCGGCAAACACTACCCAGGATTCTAGCAAGGATCGAAGGAAAGGAGTTTCTTTCCTGAGTCGACTGGGAATGCGCGGAAGTTGGAGGAAAGATGATGACATGCAGGAATCCGACTCCGAACTGGGTGAACTGCGAACCGATGGCACCTACGCACGAGCTCTCACATCCGTCATCGGTGCAGGTGGAGGATACATACCTCTTCACAAGGAACCTCCACGATACATCCGAGTCAAGGCGCATAACAAGAAGGATAGAGACTATAACCACCTATTCCTCGCACAAGAACTTACCGCTTCAGAACATAAACACACGCACGGCCGAGCGGTAGCAACGGCAGTTGGAAGCAAGATCCTTAGAGGTGGTGATGCTATCTGGGCTGCCGAATTCAGCTTGGATGGACGATACTTGGCCGTTGCAGGAAAGGATCAGATCGTACGAGTGTTTGCTGTGATATCTACGCCGGAGGAACGTAAAGCACACGAGGAAGAGGAGGCACAAAATGGTACCCATGGCGAGAAGCTTAGTGCTCCTGTCTTCCGCACAAAGCCTGTGCGAGAGTTTAAGGAACACACTGGCGAGGTGCTTGCCTTGAGCTGGAGCAAGAACAACTTTTTGTTGTCCTCTTCGATGGACAAGACTGTAAAGCTATGGCATATGAGCAGGAGTGATTGCTTGTGTACTTTTGTGCACAAGGATCTAGTCACATCTATCGCCTTCCACCCTACAGATGATCGATTCTTTCTCGCAGGATCACTGGATGCGCAACTACGATTATGGAGCATTCCGGACAAGAGTGTCGCTTTCCAGGCACCTGTGGGTGAATTCATTACTGCGGTAGCATTTTCCCCCGACGGAAACATTGCTATATGTGGAGTGCTGAGTGGTCTATGTACTTTCTACGCTACCGAGGGCCTGAAGCTCAAGTACCAAATTCACGTCCGCTCATCAAGGGGCAAAAATGCCAAAGGAAGCAAAATCACTGGCATTCGAACTATGACAATACCGTCAGGACCCGAAGCTGGGACGGTCAAGGTCCTGGTCACTTCGAACGACTCTCGAGTCCGAGTATATAACCTGAACGACAAAGTGATCCAGGTTAAGTATAAGGGACTGGAAAACCAGTCAAGCCAAATTAACGCACGCTTCAGCGATGATGGTACCTATATTATCTGCGGCAGCGAAGATCGGAAGGCCTACATCTGGAAGCTGGGTGCTCAAGACGAGATCAAGGATAAGCAGCCATACGAAACATTCGATGCTCACCCCGAGGTCGTCACCACGGCTTTGATGGCCCCGTCGAAGAGTCGGCAGCTGTTGAGTGCTTCTGGAGATCCTATCTATGACTTGTGCAACCCGCCACCCGTGATGCTGCGAAGCCTCGAAGAAAGCACTCCAAGCCATTCGGCTCTATCAGACGAAGACCATGGCGACTCGCTTCACAGCAACAAGAAGCCGGAAGAAACACCAGCATACATCGAGCGCTCAAGGCATCTTGACGGAAATATCATCATCACCACTGATAGAACTGGAAAGATCAAGGTTTTCAGACAGGACTGTGCCCATAAGAAGCGCCAGCAAGGACTCTGGGAGTCGGGTTCTCGATTGGGCAACCGTCTCTCTGGTGTCGGCAGGAGTGGAAGTGTCATGACGAGAACGAGTGCGAGCAGTCGTGTGCAATCGAGACGTGGATCACTCAACATTCCTGGTCCCAATCCGATCCAACTCCAGCATGCTTCTGACAGAATTAACAGCTGGCGTCAGGATATCGACGGAGGAAGACCCAGCATGAACAATACACCAGCTCGAAGCGAGCGATCTATGTCTCCCACCAAACCGGGACAGTCACCGATCAACTCAGCGGCCAACCTGGCACCAGAATCTCGAAGGAAGCCCTTGCCGACGAGTCCGATCAGCCGCCCAACTCCTACAAGTCCTACCGGAAGTGGTCTATCTAACCGCACCACAGTCAGAGCTTCACATGACCGGGAGAGAAACGGCATCACAAGCCCACCAACCCCAAGTTTCAGCCTTATCAGTGCTTCTGATTCTGAGGGTGTTAATGACAAGGAGGGGAGTTTCTGGAATTTGAGCAGATGGAGAAGTTCACGCCAAAGCCTTCGCTACTCGTCGGCGTTGAACACACCTGCAAGCCCCAATGGATCGCCAAACCCCGGCCACAGTCGCTCTGGAAGCCAGTTTCTCAGCGTTAGAGAGAGATCATCGCCTAGAATGAGCCTAGGTGTTGATGAGCTAAAGCCACCTCGCCAAGATGTTGCAAACCGACGCAGATCAGCAGGCCCAACGCTGACATCGAGGCTTTCGGTTCAGGGTGATCAGAAGAATGGTTTCGAGGATCAAATCGAAACACATGAGGAAATCGCACCAAGTAAAAAACGAGTGGATTCTGGCGTCGGCCGCATTAGCGATGAGTCGGCGGATTCGGCTGTTCAATCTTACTGAGATACGACATGGGAATGATATATCTCAGCAGCATTTGTTGGAGTTGGCGTTTATTCTGTTTATTGGAGCTTGATTGTATACCAATTGGAAAGGCGTCTGATAGGGTGTTTACACTTCGAACCCTGTACACTAACTTACTTGACTTTTCTTGTGTCGAAGAGAGTGGGAATCTTGCAGGAGGAGGCTTGAAAAAGGGGCTTAAGAGAAGATTCCAATGGAGTAAGAGGAGTTTGACGATGGTATGAGTTCTGGAATCCCTAGCATAGCGAGATATGAAGTCTCGGATTACACGGCCAACAATGAGCCACAGCGAACATTTACTTGATATTACGTATATATATATACAATGCAATGCAATCTGGAGTTCACTTCCAGAGGCAGTAAAAAAAGAATTACAAATATTTCACAGAGAAACAAGAATTGTGTTGAAGTGATCAGGTTTATTTCTAGCTAAGCAATGCAACCCATCCTCCTCAAAGCCTTGCGCTTTCGCATAGCCATATGCCGCAATCCTAGCTCATGATGGTCTTCGCCTTGGTGAATGGTGCCCGTGATGTGCGCCTTGTTTATAGGGGGGTATCCTTGCGAATATGCGTTCTTGACGCCATTTGCTCTGTAGTGTGTTTTTATTTTTTCGCCCGAGTCTTTCCATCTAGAAGTTCTCGTCGGTCTTGAGGGTGTTCTCCTCGGCGGGCTTCTCGGCAGCAGCACCGTTGGCCTTGTCGGCATAGCCCTTGACAGCGGCAGTCAGCTTGGGGGGGACAGCGCCGAGCAGATCGCTGTCCTTGTCGCCGTTCTCGAAGAAGAAGAAGGCGGGGATGGAGCGGATGCCGAGCTCAAAGGCGAGATCGGGGACATCGTCGGTGTCGAACTTGGCGAAGGCGTACTTGTCGGACTTGTGCTCGGCGGCCTGCTTGTTGAAGATGGGGGAGATGGCCTTGCAAGGACCGCACCACGAGGCGTGGGCTTGGAGAGCGACGTAGGGAGTGGTCTTGACGAGCTCGTCGAACTGAGCCTTGGACTTGATCTCGACAACAGCGGAGGGAGCAGCCATTTTGAAGAGTGGTTTGTGGTTTGTGGTTTAGGTGTATAGTTTGCAGGTGTTGATGAAGGGTTGAGGGGTTTTGGTGGGGGGGTTGTGTTTATATAAGTACTAAAGTAAATATGATATAGAGGGGTAGAAATCAAAAGGTCAAGATGGATCTACTGTAGCGGAGTGGATACGTTTATATACTTGGTCATTCAGGCTTCTCGAAGCTCCAGTTTCGCGATTGATTGATTACTCGACCTACCTACTCAATTATTCAGGAACCCGGGAGTCGGTGGTGGTGAACATGACAGGCACTATGACACAATCGTGAAATTTCGGAGAGGCTGACGTGGGGTTCTTTGGGCCGAGTGCCGCTGAATGATTGGAATTAACTGCTGACAAAACAGGCCCGGCCGAGCTATAGGCCCTGGAACGTATTCCATGCGTAACGGAATTGGAAGCCATTTGGAATCAACAAACTACGATCCGCGAATACGACGGATCTGTATGGGGCGAAGCGAGGCTTCAATTTATCAGCAATCCACAGGGTATCTATCTATCTATCTATCTTATCTTAGTAGCCATGGCAAGACTTGATTGAGATCCGATTGTCTTACAACTCATGCCTCGGTCAAATTATTTAAAATTCATACAATTCAAGCCTAACTCTCCCTTTGATTTGAGTCTAGTGCGACTTCATCATGCTCATGCCGTGGCTAGTACTAATGATCAAAGGCCTTACATCAAAGACAAGATACATTCCGGTAGACTCTCTGTCTTTACTTATACCATCTCTAGTCTTATGATCTATAGAAAGAAACAAAATACCTTGACAAGTCCGATACGACTTACTTCTCTCACCCTCATACTTTAATTCTTCCCATTACAATGATCTCTTTCATCCACAAAAGGCTTTGCGCCGGCAAATTCTCGGAGAGCCCCGCGTCATGGCGGGGTTCGGTAGTCTCCAATTAATTTTTTTCCTGCAGTTGATTTGGAGGGGCACCAAAAAGACGGCGACAACTAAAAATTCATTCTTTTTGTGGTTCAATTCGTAGATCGAATCAAAGAACACCACATACTCCAACCATGGCAAAGAGAACAGCTGAAGCCGATCACGGCGATGCCCTCAAGGGCGGCGAACGTCCTGAGAAGATGGACATTGACGACAACACCAAGGAGATGGGGGAGTTTGAAGATGAGTTCGAGGACGAGTTCGAGAGCGAGGACGAGATTCTTGAGGCTGGTGTTGATGGACGACCTGATGCTGAGCGCGAGGCTGAAGAGAAGGGTAAGTCAACATCCACGAATCGCTCAGAAACGGGTCTAATGCTGTGAACAGATGCCATGGAAGTCGACCAAGGAACCTTCATCGTCGGACGAAGCAAACTCGAACCCGGCCAGACTCTCGCCCCCGATCTGACAACTTACGAGATGCTGCACAACCTCAGCACACCCTGGCCATGCCTCTCTTTCGATATTATCCGCGATAACCTTGGCGACAACCGCAAGGCCTATCCTGCTACCATGTACACTGTCTCTGGAACACAGGCCGAGACTGGAAAGGCCTCTGACAACCAGATCATGGTTATGAAGTTCAGCGGTCTCAGCAAGATGGACCGTGGTGACGAGGGTTCTGACTCGGAGGACGACGATGACGAGGACTCTGACCCTATCCTTGAGAGCAAGTCTATCCCTCTCAACTCTACGACCAACCGTATCCGCGCCCACCAGATTCCTAGCCAAGAGGCTGGGCGACCTGGAACTACCCTCACTGCCACGATGACCGAGTCAAGCAACGTCTATATCCACGATATTACTCCCCACCTCGCCTCTTTCGACAAGCCCGGAACTACTATCTCCGCTCAGCAGAATAAGCCCATCTCTACTGTCCGCGCCCACAAGACCGAAGGTTACGCTGTCGACTGGTCTCCCACAGTTCCCGGGGGTAAGCTCCTCACTGGCGACAACGACGGTCTCATTTACGTGACAACGCGCACCGATGGAGGCGGCTGGGTCACCGACAACCGACCTTTCCAGGGCCACACCAGCAGTGTCGAGGAGCTCCAGTGGTCACCTTCTGAGCAATCTGTCTTTGCCTCTGCTTCAAGTGACGGCACAATTCGCATCTGGGATGTGCGATCCAAGTCCCGCAAGCCCGCAATCACCATGCAGGTCTCAAATGTCGATGTCAACGTTATGTCTTGGTCGCGCCAGACAACTCATCTGCTCGCCTCCGGAGACGACAACGGTGCATGGGGCGTCTGGGATCTCCGACAATGGAAGGCCAGCTCCGATAAGCCCCAGCCCATCGCCAGTTTCAACTTCAACAAGGAGCAGATCACAAGCATTGAGTGGCATCCCACCGACGACTCTATCGTCGCTGTGGCCGCTGGTGATAACACCGTCACACTGTGGGATCTTGCTGTCGAGCTTGACGACGAGGAGAGCAAGGACACAGCGGGTGTCAAGGACGTGCCGCCCCAGCTGCTGTTTGTGCATTACCTCAAGGATGTGAAGGAGGTGCACTGGCACCCTCAGATCACGGGTAGCTTGGTCGCCACCGGAGAGGAGTTCAGCGTCTTCAGGACCATCAGCGTATAAGGAGTGTCTGTCTATCTGTGAGGTGAAATGACTGGGACGGAAAAGTTTACAGACAGGTTCATGGTGGATCTGTTATTGATTGAACGGCATGGCACGGCGTATAATGAGATCTCCTTTGTTGGATTTGATAGATGAATGACCACGTTTTTCTTGGGCTTCACTCTGTTTGGTATTAAGAATCGGTGAAATCCTTCCATGTTTCCCCATCCTTGCACGTGTAAGCTGAGGCTCCATTGCACGTAAAACAAGCTAATCTTTAATCTTATGATCCTACTCTAAATTCTCATCGACACTCTTCATGAAACATTTCTTAGTTCTCAAACTGGGTCAAGGATCCAACTGAAGTCCCAATCAACCTTTTACTGTTCTCCATACAAACTACCGTAGGATTACGGAGCTGAACAACTAGCAAAACGCCAGTCTATAAACTAGGGTAAGATTACATCTCTTCCTCCGCCGTCTACCCTGGGGCCAAAACTACACCATATCGCTAAAACCACCACATACCATGCAATCCCCATTGTACTCCATATCTCGAACACAATTGCATCTTTTCGTAGGGCTAGACTATTGATTCTAGGGTCCTCCCGCTAAAGGCTTCGACTCGAACCAACGTGTCCCAGCCCAGCGGTAGCGATCATCCCCCGCGCCTAGAAACATGCCAAAGGAACAGAACCCGCCGTTCCAGAACGGTCTTTTTTTTTCTTCTTTTCACCAGCGAAAGAACGACAATGCCTTACGCCACAAAATGCTTCTATGGAAAAGGGGGTGGAATGTCACTCCATATGCTTAAAACGGGGTTGAGAGCCAAGATTGGTTTAATCTGACAGGATGGATGGCTCAGCCCTGTTCTGCAGGAGAAAGGGGGTGAGATGAGATTTCTGGAAGATGAAGGAGCAGAGGATGGAGATTAATGCATGACTTTAAGTTGAGATGAGATTATGGATATTTCTTCAAGATATGTACTTTCGGTCTTTTACTGTATTCGTCTTGGTCTATAGACTTTGATCAGGACATGGCGTCGTTAGTCAAGACTCACAAGATGCACTGATGCAACGTTGGACTTATGCAGCATCTTGTGTACGTTTCTGTAGTATGTTGCTGTGCAACATGACATGCCATGCGAGATCTGTGCCAAGGCCACGCCGTTAAACGTTAACCAGTCTCCCATGTCAACGGACAGGGCTGAGCCGTGTTCCCTCTATGCTAGACGTCATGAAGGCTTGAGCGTTGTCTGTTGGTTCATCTTCAATTTTACTAGGTAGCCTTACGCCATTGCTGTTGATATCATGTTTGCAGTCGCAAAAGGACAGTATATTGAAGCAGGTCTATAAACGCTTTTAAATGACACCCTAAACCCCCATCGAGATAGCGAGCTCTTGCCCCCGACGTTATACAAAAAAATGTCTACATTACGTGTGTCGTTCAAATACCGTGGAGTGGTACATTATTGTCGTTCAGGTCTAACCAGACTAAATGGAAATATTGGCCAAAAATGGCTAATTAGCTAATGTACCTTGCAGAATGGTGACAGTAGCCTTGACAAGCCGCTGCCGTGCCATCATGTCAAGTTTACTTTGATGGCTCTCGGCTCTCAGCGGTAGGAAGAGCGTTCTTCTTGGCCTCGTTCTCCTTGACCTTGGCCCAAGCATACACGATACCCGAGACGAAACCGATGAAGATGGCTGAAACACTTCCAACGGTGACGGGAGCAGCGAAGAAGATGAGACCAGAGACGGCGATGGGCAACTTGTTGAGAGCACCAACCATGGAGTAGGTGGTGGAAGAGGTGACTCGGATGCACCAGGCGGAGCAGTAAGAAATGAAGATAGCGGCCAGACCAGAGTAGATGATGCCAATGAAGATACGGTTGCGCGAGTCCTCGGGGAAGTTCTTGGCGAAGTTGGCGCTGGACCAGTCCTCAGTGACCAGAGAGAAGAAGACAAGGACGGGAATGGTGAGAAGGTTGTTGTAGTACATGGCTATTGACATGTTAGCAGTTGTTCTTTCGTGCAGTGTTTTTGAGCGCAACCCTGAGGTTGCGCCCGGAGGGTCAACGTACTGTCCCAATCCTTGAAGTTCATCTTGTGGATAACCTTGCGCATGCCCAAAACGTAAGAAGCAGAGCAGAAGACGTTCATGGCCATCCAGAAGTAACCGGCATTAAGAGTTGCAAGAGCATCAGCATCGCCAGTAGTAGCGCTGTAGTCGCCAGAGATAGCGCTCTTGATATCAGCCCAGGCAGCAACCACAGAGCTCAGAACCATGAGACCGAAAGAAGAGAGGGCGATGGGTGTGACGGAACCGCCAAACCAGAGGACTTCACCATAAGCAATGGCGATGATGGTCAAGTTCTTGAAGATGGTGTAGACAGGCACGGAGAGGTACTGCAGAGCCTTGGTGCTTGTGTAGATCATGCCAACGAGGACGAGCGAAATTGGGTACCCTGTTGAGATCGCATTAGCCATTTGCCCCTCATTCGCGAGAGCAATTACAACGTACACTTCTTGATGCGGTCCATCTCAAGAGGAGCGAGGGACTTGATCATGCCGAGCTGCTTGCATGCTGTGATGGCAACAATGCAGACAATGGACTACAGAGACACCGAGTTAATTGACATCCCTTGAACTCGGGGAATAGCGACAAACATACCTGAACAGCGAGGTAGAAGAAAGTAAGGTTCCATGATGTACCAGACACAACATACTTGTTGACGACAGTCATGGAAATAGAAGAGAGACAGTAAGAAAGAATAGAGAATGGCCCGCTGTTCTCGATCTTGTTCATGAAGCCTGAAGGCTGCGCGGGGAGGGCATCAGTGCCTGGACCGCGGCCAACAAGGGAGTCGTTCTCCTTGTCACCATCGCCAATGTTGGTCTCGTTGGCAGACTCAGGCATCTTGGCCACGAAGTCGTCGTTCTTCTTGTTCTGGTCAGCCATGGCTGCGGCGTCGAGTCGGTCGGTCGGTCGCAAGCGATTAAAACGGCTTCTAAAAAAAGAGTGGACGAACGGCCGAAATGTCGTTCAACAGTGATTCAATGCGTAGCAGAGAATGACGAATCTCGAAAAGAACACGAAGCGACACGACACGATACGATACGATGCGATATGCGGGACAGGACGAACAGGACAAGACAAGATAAGACGAGAAAAAGCGAAGGGCTCCAGATGAAAATCGATCCAGTCAATCAACCAAAGGCCACCGTGGAGATGCCAAGTCAAGTGGATAGGGATAGGGAGGGATGGGAATAAGAAAAAAGGGCGTATCACTGTAACCTCTGCTGCAACGGTACAATTGTCAGTGAGAAGTGAGGAAAAGGGGGCTTGGGGACCGTTCTTGGCCAACTTGGCTACATTCAACTAAGGCGATAAGGATCCCGGCCTCGGGGGGCAAGAAAACAGTAAACCTTACTGTATGGTGTCAAAATAAACTTAGCAAAAGTTATCCTAAGCTTAGGCTATATTACCTACCTCTTTTTGTCATTTAGGATCGAGGTCTCGTGTTTTCTTTCCTCCCCTAGCCCGGTAAGACCTTTTCCACTCTTTTTCCCTTGCGCCGCGTAAGAATCAATAATTGCATTTTCTGTCTATCTTCATATACCGTATAAGTGGATGACCCCGCCGTGTGAATCTTACCGGGACACGAAGGGGTGCTGCTGATGAGGCCGTCGACGTCAGGAATCCACATCCCGGCCGAGGAAACCCTGGCATCTCCGAACTGGCTGCAGACAGAGTCTGTTTGGATACATACATACTCCGTACATACCTTACAGATGCCACAGAGGAATAGGGGGCTACAACGATTATCATCAACATCAGAGCCTCTGCATCCCTGCCGAGACAATCTGTGGATGGGTCATGGGTGCGGTGCAGGCGCGTGGTCGTGGCGCACTTTGAACGCATCCATCATCGAATCGCCCGAGTGGAGGAAGTTGGGAACCAGCCAAGCCCAGGAGATGGAGGTGGGTGAATGTGGATTAGGTATGGATGGGACGGGAGACACTAAGTTAGAGCCTAGAGGTAGGTACCGACTTAGTAGAAGGACTAGGATGTTGCGGTATGGGGGATGGGGGGTCGCATCTTTTTATTCCCAAGTTCAAAAGACGTTTCAATATACTTTCTTTTTCTCTTTCCCTTCCATTGCATCTTCCATCTTGTCTTTTTGGCCGTTTTTGCTTGCTTCTTTAAGGCCAGCCCGTGATAGAAGTATCCGGGTGTTCCACTCCTTTCCCACAACCACAACCACAACCATAACTCTAACCTAAAACATCTGCTTCCCATGAGTTCATCATGTTACCTGCGATGAACCGCCTCACACGCATCGCGCTAGCCGTGATTGCTGTGCTATTCGTCTTCGCTATATTGGTGTCTTACCAGGCGCCCGAGAGCTTTAAGGATCATTTACCAAGCGCAGACTGGCATTGGCCTTCGAAAGGCGACAATGTCACTATCGACGAGCCCCCAAAGCCTACCGACGCCGCTGGTGCCGTCGGCGCTGGAGAGGAGGACACAGAGTTGGATAAGGACCCCAACACAGACATCTCCTACGATTTGACTCGAGCTCCTACACCGGGTTGCGAGAACATCGTCAACGACTTGCAGCAGCGTCTCATCCACGCTTACCAGAAGAGGTTCGAAGGAATTCGCTATGCCAACATCTGGGGTTATCTCGAGACGGAGAACAAGGGTGATGCTGCGATTTGGTCCGCACAGCAGATTCTGCTGAGTATCCTTGGAATCGAGACTATGGAAGCCTGCCGGTAAGCATCTCGCCTGTACCACGTTGGACAGCATCAATACTAATGTAATGTGATACAGCTTCATGTACAAGGACTGCGACATTACAAAGTTCCGCAAAAAGTTGGAGGAGCACCGCCCACACTCTGGTATCATCATGGCTGGTGGCGGTAACTTCAACGATTACTACTGGGAGGACCAACCTTCGCGCATGAACATGATTGAGAACTTCCTCAACGTCTCCATCCGAGCTTTCCCCCAGAGTATCTACATGACCAACCCCGAGAGGATCGACAAGACCAAAAAGGCTTTCACCAAGCACCATGATTTGCAGTTAGCTGCTCGCGACAAGCCCAGCTACGACTGGCTCATGGACAACTTTGGACAGACGGACGGTATTCAGAGTGATCTGGTGCCTGATATTGCTTTCATGTGGGGCAACCGATCTGACTTCCGACACAACACAAAGAAGACGTTAGTATTGTCAGCCAGCCTAACCGTTGAACGAGAGCTAACTTTATATCTAGCCACGATATTCTGATTCTCGCCCGAAAGGATGCCGAGATTTCTGACGGTGATTCTGCTAGCATCGAGTTTGGCGAGGGCAAGGTCGACTTGGGTGGCAGCATTGGCAACGTAACATACAACAAGGTCGACTGGAAGTTCACCAAGACCCCTTCGATCGACGACGACGCCCAGCGCGAGGAGGGTAAGAACCAGCGAGCGTGGGCCAAGTCAATGGCCGGCTTCGAGCTCTTGGGGTCTGCTCACTTTGTCATCACCGACCGTCTCCACGGTCACATTCTATCGACAGTCATCGGCGTACCACACGTGCTGATGGATAGCAAGTTGGGTAAGAACCTCAACTTCCACAACACATGGACGCGCGACTGCGGCTGCACCAAGATTACAAAGAGCATCGACTCTGCGTTTGACGTGGCGCGCATGTACTTTGAGCAGCAGGTCAAGGACGGTCTCAGGGCTGTTGACCCGCCCAAGCCCAAGTCTGTACCTACACCTACTCCCCAGGCTGAGGCTGGCTCATCATGATGAACTGGCTAGCAGCCAGATATAATGTTTTCCTTACTACCCATACCCAGCATTGGAGCTATTTATTACTATTACCAATGGTGTTTTTCTGCTTAGAGTTGAATGGTTGCCCCGAGCCGGCTGGGGGATATTCTGCTATTTTGATGGGAGACACTTTAACATACGCATACATACCGACATGTCACCCATCTCATCATGATGGAGCAGGCCTATCTTGTCTGGGGCACTGAATGGGGAACGGAACAGGGGATACCATGCATGGCGCTACCATACTGTGTTTAATTTCGTCACCGCATCTTAGATTTTTTTTTACATACTCGCTCGTCTCTTTACAGTTATGTCCTTGCCTGTAGGGACAAGAGTCAAGACAGAGCGAAAAAAGGAAATCGCATACACGCGTCCTTTGCGAGCTGTACAATAACGAAACTAAGAATAAAACAATCATCACCTCACCCAAGTCTCACGTTGTTCACAGAGTGGCCAGTTCCAGGACCCATTATTCGCAAACGTGATTGTTACACGCATCGCCAAGCATCCAATGCCTTACTCAGGTTTCACATAATCATCATCCGGGCGGAGTAACCTGTCCATCTTCATCAAAGAGCCGTCCACTTTTTTCCTTACCCTCGATTATTTTTTTCGGGGCTAAGATTCCTCATAATGCAACTCACCGAGATCTGCCCTGTCTTGTTCAAGAAAATGACGAGCACGGAGGAAGAGAGAACTCAGACCTTGGGGATCGTCTCTCTAAGCTGAAACGCTCCATGGATTCCTCCAGCCGGTTCCTGGCCACTGAGGCGAGTTTGTGTAATTATCACGTGGAGAATATCCTACATCGGAGTAATGAAGGGAAGAGGAGAGAGATGAAGGTAGTATTCGGCTGAGGAGGTAATGGAAGATCATGGACGGGAGAGGACAAGGTGATGGGTTATGCGTGGCTGCAGCAAAACCTGATTATTGCTATCTTGGCTCTTGTCTCGCTTCCCGATGACTCTTGGCCTACGGTTCGGTACACACATGCATCACATTACAGTACAGTACAATAAGGTATTATCTTCGGGCGTTTTCTCGCATCTGCAGTAGAGGAGGTATTCCGGTGGAGTCTCATGCATTACTCGCGCCTCGAGTGCGTTTGTGCAAACTATCAACGGCTGACTGAGTCGTCGGCATGGCACCGATGATCCTTCCGAAGCTTACAGCGGGTGACACTGTAAAACAAAACATCCAAGTCTGTCTGTGTCCGTCCATCCATTCAAACTGACTGCAACCCTTAGTACATAGACTTAAAAATTGGCTTATTTGTTTGAGTTTTAGTAAGGGGTCATCCTACCTTATTCGCCGCGACAGGGGACCAATGGCGGAGGTTTGATCAACACCTGCATTTCCCATAATCTCTACGTCACTCGCAAGAGCCTCTGCAGCTGCATATCCTCAGTGGCTAGACGGACCCCCCACAGCGGCCATAAGCGCTATCCTGCACAGTTCCCACCAAGTAATTCCTCCCACTTCCCATCATTGCAGCAGCAGAATGCAGATGCAGTGCCACTCTCTGCCTTGTCACAGCCGCCGATTCTTCGCCAACGCCCCGCGTCCTGTTAGTTAGGTTAGGTTAGGCTAAGGCCAAGCTAAGGCCAATGTCAAATCTCATCAACGAACCTCCCCCGTCCCCTGGCCTGGCATGGCATGGGGCTCCAGCACAATAAACCCCCTCGATGGCGGTACTTCGGTAGAGCTTCCAGGGAACAAGGCCCTTGACCCGGAAGGTCAAGGAACATCGTCGAGATGGAGTATAGCGATGGTTCTCGAGTCCTCTCATTCGTTAGTGAGGCTAAAGCAAATATCCAGTGTCCAAGTCTAAAACCAAGGCCAAGGTGTGGCGCCAGATTTACCCTGCTCCCCACTGGGATAACGCGTTCGATCCATTTAAGCAACGCAAGCAGGCAAACGGAAACCCCCTATTCCGCCTGTGGCACTAGATACACACACTACTTCTCACTGACGACACCCTAGTCTTTTAGTCTTGGGGGCTTCTCTGTGCCTGCGTATTTGGGTCCTAGTGCGGAAATAGACTTGATCAATCAATCAACAAAACCTCCGGACAGCCCGTATTTGCCAGCCTCTCCCCCCTCAGAGAGTCTTGACTTTTTCATACATCTTCGTGTTTTTTTTTGGTTCCTAGGCCAGGTTGAGAGAGAGAAGACCCTTGGAAGCTTGTTCACTCAGAAACTCGCTTCAGACATTCGTTTACCCACATCACGTTGACTGACTTGGTTGTTGTTTTCTTCTATTACTACTCTACTCTACTCTCTTCTCTCGTATTCTTCCTACTCTTTCATATCCATTTTCATTTCATTACCTTATCTTGCCTTGCCTTACCTTACACATTGCATTATTACATTCACACTATTTTGGTTGTTGTTGGTTCTACACATATAAGTCGACATAAACCTTAATATCTTTTCTGTCACAATGGCTGCCGCCGAACAACCTCAGGTCGAGAACCGTCCCCCGCCTTCACGGATGAGAGTCGCCCTGGTGGTGCTCTTCCATTCATCATGTGCTATCTGGAGCACTATTCTATCCAAGTCGGCCCTCAATGGTGTTGAGGCCCCCGTCACATTGCTTGCTCTCCAGACAACGATACAAGTTGTACTACTCACAGTCATTGGAGTTGCTACAGGATGGGTCAAGCTGTACAGACCACTCAATGTAAGTGACACCTCAATGTCTCTTCACTTGAAGACAATCCATTAACATATAACCTCAGGCTTGGATTGCTCTTCTACCCCTCACGGTCGCGCGTCTCATTGGAATCTTGGCAAAGACATACTGCCTTGCCTCGGTCAACGCCTCCGTCTACCAGATCGCCCGTGGTCTCCTACTACCATTTACTCTCTTCCTGTCTCTGCTGGTTCTCCGACCTCGTCCTTACTACCCTCCTATCTCTCTCGTCGGCTGCGCCATGGTCATGGCTGGCTTCGGAACTGGAATGATGGCCGACTACAGCCAGATGCTCACCTCCGGCAAGGGTGTTCTCCTCGGTGTCGGATCTAGTTTCACCACTGCCGTCGAGTCCGTTGTCGTCAAGCGATTCCTCGGTAAGAGCCAGGAGGGTATGTGGCAGATGGTCTGGATGTCCAACTGTATGGCCATCCTTTTCTATATTCCTCTCTTCCCTCTTTCTGGGGAGATGAACACTATGAGCAGCCTTTTTACCGTCGAGTCCATGGATGTCGCCCGCCAGTTCCTCAGCTCCGCCTGTTTGACCGGCGTCTCAGCCTTCCTCCTCACCATCGCTACCTTTATGCAAATCGAGGTCACTAGCCCGACCACACACATGATTGTTACTGCCGCTCGAGGTGTCGCCCAGAGCTCTCTCGCCGTTGTTCTGCTCGGCGAGGTTTTGACTGCCGACCGCGCCGGCAGCATGGCTCTTATTCTTGCCGGAAGTGCCCTCTACGGCTGGGCCCGAGACCGATACCAGCAGGCTAAGAAGGCCGCTGGCAGCTACCAGCTTCTACCTCGCGAAGAGGAGGGCCGAGCTGAAATGGTGGACAGCAAGGAAGCCAAAGATCTGAAGCAATAAGATCTTGACTTTCTCTTGCTGGTCATGAGATGAAATAACATATACCATTTCCTTTTTCTTTTATTATTCTTGGGTATGGCGGGCTTCATCATGACGACAGGTGTTTGGATGATCAGGTTTTCGGCATACTTTTTTCAGATTCTATATACCTTAGACATAGAGACGTTTTACTATGTAATCTGGGGTATCCAGTTTAGCCCTTATTTCTTCTCCCTCAGCAGTGCGCAACGAGGGAGAGAAGCTTCAAGATCAAAATACACGTTTATATCAAATCTTTCTGAGCTCCGCAGTGAAAAGTGTACACGTAAGAGAAACCGAAGAAAGACATTGTTCATCTGATCTTGCAGAGCCAAGACGGGACAGCCTTTTAAGCTTACCTATTCCTTGGAAATATCTCACGTTTTCTATTGGTGGCGCTCTACCAACCGCTTTTCGGGAATCATGATTCACTATTTTTCTTTTCTCATGTTCCAAATGCCGGATTCGATTACATGGCTTCACGCAAGGGAGCCGGAGAATTGCGGCTCGCTATGAGACTCCCGCCAGCCACCCGCTGTGAATTAAATGGAGACATGTTGAGAACTGACATCACTGGAATGTTGCAGGAAAACTTGGTGTAAGTGGTAATTCGTGATAGTATTTTCAATGTACTGAGAAACCGTATATTAAGAATGTTCATGCATGGTTCAAAAAACTCTGGAAACATAGAGCCGCTCATCCTGATTCCCGATCATGTGAAATGGTGCCGCGTAATTGTACAAATAGAAAAAGTGCAAAAATCCCAATAAATCATATCTAATTGTCTTTAGTTGCGGTTATACTTTTCGAAGGCCTCGTTGATCCAGGCCTTGGTGTTGGCCTGGTTCTGTTCCAACAGGGACTTGGTAAAATCCCTCACGGCCTGCCTTCGCTTAATGAAACCGTCTCGGTCATCAATCACTCGCTCAATAACGTCCATCTCGCCCTCACCAGGTCGGGCAACCCAGGTAGCCTCCCGGGGCAGGTAAGAGTAAGCCTTGAGCAGCTCCTCTGTCGCAACGATGGGGGCTCCTGCGATCAAAGCAGCGGGAATGGTTGAAGAAGCCTTGCGGTCGAAGTATGTCTCAGAGGCAAACGCTGGAAGCACAGCGAAAGACTTGGACATCAATGTGTAGAAATCGGGGTAAGAAAGACCCTCGTCGAAGAAGACGTGGTCCTTGACGTGGTCGGGGACCTCGGGATGAGTGCCGTGTCCGACAAGGTGAAGGCTGACATTCTGAGGTGAGTGGCCCTCGGACTCCTCGCTGGCTTTTCGAATGACGCTGCCGAGGTGGTTGAAGACACCGTTGTAGTCACGTCGGCCGTCAGAGTAATCGCCCTGAAGAGACAGAGAAATGCCGGGCTGGAGATCAGGGTCGGAAATGTGGACGGGGAA